AAGAGCTTCTTTCTCTGCTATTCCTGGCATTCTGTTAATGCACTCTGCTTAATTTTGAGAAATGCAGGGTCAAAGGAGAGCTTTTATTAGGTGATACTAAGTCAAGACTAAACATAAACTTGGCAGAAATAATTGCGTAAGTAGTTCAAAAGGTCTCCTGGCTGGAGTCTCTTTCTTTCCCAGCTAGCTGGGGAACTTCAGTTGTGGCATATAAGTAGTTTAAAAAGTGATTATGTAGGACCAGACGAGAAAACATACTCATTTGTATGTGATTGGCATGTGTAATTACATGTAAATAGAGAAACTAGCACATGATTAATTTAATAGGAGAGAATATTTTGTGGTGCAGTTTGAAAAAGGATTTGTGACTTCTAACTCACAAAGTTTTTAAAGCAAGGAAAAATGGCTGCAACTTTTTTAACGCAAGAATTTTTACAGTAGCTTAAGCAAAAATAATGGTCATTGTGGTGTTGAAAGTTCTTTTTTTTTTTTTTTAATTTTCAGGTACATGGAACAAGGAAGTTCTAGTTTAAGTTGACTTCTTAATGAATAAGAGGACCTTTAAAGTGTTGCCTTTGCTTTTTCTTAAATTTTGGGGTTGCACAACTGCAGTTGTCTAAATTCATGTGTAGTTGACTCAGGCTAGTTATTGATTTGTTAATGGGCAGTTTTTGAGAGTATGTAACATGAAGAATTTTCGTTTTCATCTGCAGTAGCATTCTGTGCTTCGTTATTGATGGTGAGACACTGGCTCTAATTTAGAGGGCACTGCTTATTCTACAGAAACTGCAGACTCTAGGTTCTGTACCATTCTGCCAGTTTTGTGATGCGTGTTTAAGTACCTCAGGAGAACTGAACTAATGGTGGGGTTTCTTTATTTGTTTGTTTCAAAGGTAAGTGTAAGGATTACTTTCTGGCAGGGCTCTTCAGACTCGACTCAACTGAGTCTCTCCTTTCAGGGTCAGTCCTACCTGAAGTTTTAGCTTTCACTGTACCGCATAGCCTATCTCTTTTTTTCCTTGCCTTGTGAAAAATAAGACTTGTAGTTCTGGCAAATGGAGAGAGTACCTTTTCTTTTGTCTTTGCTGTAGGTGAAGAAATATGTTCTTCTGTCAATAAAAATCTCCATCTAGCAATTCTTTTAAATGATTGTTAAAACAATACTAAAATATTAACACTATAAACTGTTAAGTAGAACTTTTCATCTTAAGGTGAGATTTTATGAGTAGCTAAGAGCTGTATGTAACTACACTGCCAGCTTTGCTACTAACAGCAGTCCAGAGTCACAGATTTCTTTTAACATTCTTTTTTGCAGTATATGATCTTGCTAATGTTGATCAAAATGTGTTCATTTATATACATTTCCCTTTTACATCTTTTCTTGCAAACTGTTCTGGGTAAGACACAACAGTTATTGGTATTGTGTTGCTGATCATTAGACTGTCAAAATACCTATTTTGGTGTCAAGTGACTTCTAATTATGTACCTAAATACATGTCAGAAGACGAATCCATTGCAGAAAGGTCATTCTGCCTATGGTTCCATGCCTAATGTTACTAAAACCATTCAAAAATATTCAAAGTGAGATTTTCCTTCCAAAAACTTTCCATGTGGATCCTAATGTAGGTTTCAGAAAAGCTGGTCTTTGATCTTCAATACTAGAACTGCAAGGATTCTTAAAAACAATTATACTTTCTCTTCAGCATGGATAAAATTGTTAATTTTCTTTGAAAGTAGGTTAGTGTCATGGTTTAACCCCAGCTGGCAACTAGAACCAAGCAGCCGCTCACTTACATCCCCCACCTTCCCCTCCCAAGAAGGATGGTGAGAAGAGGGAGGTGAAAAGGAGGGGAAAAAAAAAAAAAACCTCCTGGGTTGAGATAAAGACAGTTTAATAGAAACAATAACAGAAAAAGGAATAATAATAACAATAATGACAGCGGTCACCCTCAGCACCTGGTGAATTGGCACTGTCCAGAGCTAACCCCCATTTATATACTGAGCATGAAGTCTGTGGTATGAAATATTTAATTGGCCATTCTGTCCTTCTGCCTATGCTTCTGTGGGAAGCTGAAAAAAGTCCTTGAATAGTGTAAACATCACTTAGCAACAACTAAAACCAACAGGTATTATTGACATTCCTTTCTCGCAGCAATTGCTAGAAAGAAAATTAACTCTTTCCTAGGTGAAACCAGGACAGTTAGGGAAGGGAAATTCTGGGGGGAAAAAAAGAAACTAAGACAGCTCAGGGAGTTTTTTTAAAATGGAATTCAGTATGGAGGAGGGAGAAAAAAGATAAACTGCAATTCAGCAGGTTTTAGGATCCTGTTTAGACATAGCCATTATTTCCTACTCAAATTATCAAGTAATTCAATACAGAAGGAACAAATCAACAGTGAAAGCAGTGATGTCTTACGTTTTGAATGGTTTACCTATGGCTGGATCTAGTCTGCTCGCAAGTTTTGCCAGGGTGTCTGTAGCTCAAGGCTGTCTGATCACAGGTTCAGGCCTTTATGTCTTCATTAGCGTTTGTAGAGTGCACAGCAGAGGAACTGCGGGTTCAGTTTGGTACAGATGGAACAGAGATGTAGTTCACAGGCACTGCAACTGCTCTGCAAGCCAAGCCAACCCTCAGTAAGTGTGGTTGATTAGGGGTTTTACTTCAAAACTGTGCTACTGCTCTGAACCGAAACATTAATTTAGATCCAGCCAACAGAGTCTAACAGTCATCTTTTGTCCATAATGTATCAGGAATGTGAGAGATTTGAAAGCATATGGCTGTGCTTGGGCATTTGATGATAACAGTTGTTTTATTAAAATAAAGGCAAGCTTATAAACAGATCAGATGCATTTTCTGAATATAGTATGCTGGTTTTATGCTTGGTCCCGAATTTCACTGGTCTTGCATCAAATGGTGCAATGAAATGAGAGTAAATCATCTTTTGGGTGCAGAGGGAGAGGACAGAAGAGATGGAAATAATTCCCTTTGAGTTAAAAGCAGATTTTTTTTTTAATTACCATGAAGAATGTCTAGGAAAATGAGAATTGGTATCTTGCAGAGGGGAAGGAAAAAAGTATGGGTTTTTTCATTACGGATGTCTTGTTTTGAACGATAATACTTAGCAACTTAAAATTGTTGTTAAAAATCTAGTGTGGGTGAAAACTTCGCTGACCAGGATTTCCTGTAAAGAATTGGTATAAAGTAATTAATCTGAAATAATTTATATCTATATTATGCTTATATGCTTACTAACACACCCTTCTGGAACTGTTTTTTTGTTTGGTGGGGGTTTTTGTGTTAGCAAGCATTAACTTGTGTTAACAAGTGCAAATGTTTTTTTTTTTTTTTTAATGCAGTCCTTCCAGGGAAGCCAGGGACGAGCCTACCTCTTTAATTCTGTGTAAGTATGTTGTTATGGTTATGCACACTACTTACAGAGTGTATTCTTTTTTTGGTATGCTTCGTAAGTGGAAAACAGTAGGAATTAATGTAGTTACAGTTTGCCCTGTTATTTTTAACATTTGCTTTACTCACCAGCAATAGTTACTAAAGGAGCCTACTGAGCTGATTTGTGAGTATCCCTTCGCACACATTAGATTATCTTATATTTTAAGTAATTCTGCTAAAAGCTGAAAGTTTAGGGGAGGGTGTTAATGTGAAAATCCTTTTCTGTGTGCAGTGGTTACTGTCTTGAGTAAGAGTTGCCATTCTGAGATATTCCAGAAGTTAAAAAATATTGTGTGACTGTAAGTTTGGTTTAGACAACTCTGCTGTAGTCTAAAGAAGAATTTTCCAGTGTGAGAGTTAGACACATTTGCAGGTTAATTTTTCAGTAAACTTGGTACATCTTAAATGACCTTGAATATTGCAAATGTGCTAGAGGCAAAAGGTCTCTGTGATCTTATCAAGCCTAATATTTGCAATTTTAGGCACATCCTAACCATGATACAAGGGTCCTAGAATTTGCTAATGGATGTATTTTAAGTTACTAATATGCAGGATTGCATTTTTGTCTTCATTTTTCAGCAGTTTGTTGTATTGCAGCATGTTGGGAAAAGAAATGGAGTCAAGTGTCTTGGTCTATTTTAGACTAGGATAATGGAACTATAACTGCAAGGGATTTCATTGCAGATCCTTGAAGTTCTTTTTATATGTAGTCATTCAGTGGTAACTTGGGACTTGTAGTATAATTGTAGTAGTAAGAATATGGTAATACAACAGCAAAAATAGCAAAATTTTGCTCTTGTGTAACACCTGCTTGGGCAGGGGGGTTGGCCTAGATGATCTCCTGAGGTCCCTTCCAACCCTGACCATTCTGTGATTCTGTGAACACTGTCGAAAAACTTGGTTTAGTCTTGCTTCGTGTTTTCTGCATAGACTCTTATTCATGAAAAAACTAGCTTGATGCAGTACTTCATGGGATGTTTTGTTGATAGTGCTGTTGTTCATCATGGCTTAGTCTGCTGATCTGTAGCAAACATACTTATGAGGCTTTTTCCTTGCTGCAGTTTTGGAGTTGGTTCTAAATTCAGCTGTTGGTGTTGATTTACTGGTACAGACTTCCATTATAGAGGTCTCAAATTGTTTTTGAGGAAAAGCCCGAAACTGTAGAGGTGTCCAGTTACTGCTTAGCATTCTGTTCTCTGAAAGTTTAACTATTTTGCTTGTCTTTGTTGATGGGAGTAAGTGGTCATCACCAACAGTTCGCTGTTTAGACTAGCCACTTGAAAAACATAAAACTCTTTTTTTCGTCCTGTCCTTCAGCTCAGTGTAGCAAAGGAAGTCACTTTTACAGCATTGGATAAGTTAGGCGCTTTTTTTTTGTCCTCTGGAGAAAAGGTGGCTAACAGGTTAAGAAGAGACACTTGTGCAATTAATGTAATTTCTCCCTTGTTTTGTTTTTTTTTTCCAGGGTAAATGTGGGCTGTGGTCCAGCAGAGGAGAGAGTTCTTCTGACAGGTTTACATGCTGTAGCAGACATCTATTGTGAAAACTGTAAAACCACTCTTGGATGGAAATACGTAAGCAATATACTTCAATAAATGTTTATATGTTGAAGCACAGATATTTGATTTAGACCGTTGAGTAGCACCTGTGCTGATAGTTTAGGTGAGTTAGCTCTAGCGCTTTTCTGTCTATCAGACTGTAATACAGTTTTGCTTCCTGACATCTGCTGGAATGCTGGAGTAGTTAATAACTTTATTCTGGACTGCAAAACAGGCATGTGCTAGGGGAGCTTTTACAGCTATGTGATACTTCTGTAATATCTTTTTGCAAGAGTACCAACCTCATACACTAAACCAGATGGAAGAGATTGTCAAAGTGGGTCTTTAATTTCTTGGGTTGCAAAAGTTGGTTCATATAGCAAAAATATGAATTATGATAAATGGTACTGAGCATGTTTACACAGTGTGTGAATGTGAACTTGATTCTGTTGTTTGAAAAGTTACCTCTGCACTTGCACAGTTACCTGTAACGCTTGCAGCTGTTTTGCAAGTTTCATGTTTTGAAAATGTTACATTCTGGGTGTTCCATGTAGGATTTTAATTGATTCAGTATAGCTTCAGATATTATAGAAAGAAGTTGTCCTAATGCACTCCCTCTGATGATGAATACAGAGGAGAGCTTTTGTAAAGATTCCTGTTCCCTCTTTTCATTGCTTCTGGGAATAAGGAAACTGAGCGCGCATAACGTGCCATTTCCTAACCTTCACTTAAAAGCATTGAAGTTCCCGAAGCAGTGAGAGAATATGGAAAGTTCTAAAGCAAGATCTGTTGTGTAGTGGCTCTGCTGATTCTGCATATGAGAAGTTTACTCCTATTTCCTTCTCAACCCTCTTCATCCTCTCTTTCCTCCCTCCTGCCCTTGATCTGATATAACTTATATGAGACATTAACTGGAATGTCCCCTGGTTTTGTTTTTAATGCAAGTTTGCTGTTTAAAATACTTCAATTTCCCAAGCTTAATGCAGCACCTTGATTTTTCTTTTTTCCAGGAACATGCTTTTGAGAGCAGTCAGAAATACAAAGAAGGAAAATTTATCATTGAACTTGCCCACATGATAAAAGACAATGGCTGGGAGTGAATCATAACTTTTTTCCTTCTGTTTGGACAATATTCTGTGGAACATGCTTTACAAAGACTAATGCAAAGTAAAGGAAGAGCTTGGCTAGAGTGGCCCTGAGAATATCACTGAACTCTGAAACCTCACAAATGAGTAGTGTAGTGTAAGTGGCTATTTCAGGCCATGTTTGCCTTTTCTCCTTGTGTAAGTTCCCTCTTTTTGTATGTGTGTATTATTGTGTGAACCGTTGTTTTGGAACATTTTGGATGACCTTTTTCTAAACTCTCTCAAACTAGAGAAACAGTTCACTAATTGAGAACGGATTTTACTGGTTAGTCTCTCTCTCTGACCTATGCCTTTAATGCTACCTTCTGCTGTGCATGCTTCTTGCCTAAACACCTACACTCCAGTCCTGTAGAAGTTCTGTATCTGAGCAGTCTGAAAGAATGTATGGGATGGGGTGCTTTTTTATATGTAGCAATTTCTGATGTGTTTGGCAGTGAAGAGGATGCAGTATTGTAGTTATTAATTTCTTTTTTAAATTTGAGTGTACCACAACCTATGTACATCTTGTAGGTGAATTGGTTAAAGGTACAGTGCTCACTTTAAAAAATATTTCAATTGCACTGACTGGAGTTAGCAGGCCTCAAGTTGTTAGGAAAGGTTATGCTAGAGGTTTGGTATCTTAATGAAATACCTTAGAAGGATTTTAAATCAATAATGCTATAGGATATGTTCATTTAAGACCAACATGTTCCCTAAGGAGTTTACTGGAAAATAAATTTATAGAATTATAGCTTGCAAGATTGAAAAGGCAGAAAAATATATGCATCTTCTATTTTGGGAAAAAAAAATAAATTAGTCGGTGTATTAAAAACAAAGTTTTGGTACTGTACCTTTGCCAGTAACAGGGACTTGTGCATCAGTAGAGTTTTATGGCTGGTTCCATGTAACTGTATAGTCCTAATGCACTGGACAAAGAGGTTGATATCAAGGAAACTTGTTGAAGTATTCTGCTTCTGCTACATTTGAACAAAAATATTTATTTTTGTGAGAAATGGCCAGAGCCTATGACATGAAAATTAATATAGTACCTGTAGGAAAAGGAGGGGTAATAAGAGGGAAGGGAAGTTTGACTCAGTTTTTCATAAAATAACAAGATAGTTTTTAAAACTTGGGGGTGGGGAAAGGGTTTCTTGGTTTGCTGGCTAAATCATCCCCAAGTACCTTTTTATAATAAAAATTTATATGAAACTCAACCTTCTCTTTTGTTCTCACGCTGCTTCTTAAACAGAATGAGTTAATGAGAGAAAGTTGTGGAAAGTGTATGCACAATATTAGCTGCCGGTATCTGTGCATGCAAATTCTGAGCAACTGTGAAAGAAACACTCTACATAAAATTGCTAACTTTATTTTCAAATTAAACAGTCTCTGAAGACTTTTTAATTCTTTCAATGCTTGAGGACAAAATATTTAGAAAAAACCCTTTAACACTACATAAGTACTATAACTGAACAATATGGAAGCCTTGCAATACAAAATCACTTTCTCTCAATAACGATTCTAATATGGCACCTGCAAAATTAGTCATAAGTGCTGTTGCTGCTGTAACGTTTTTGGGAATCTCTGATAGGCTTTCTAAACTCTGCTGCACTTTAGAAATTTTGTCATACATGAAAAATTATGCCAATGGGTAGGGGCAATACAGATCTTTAAAACCAGCTTTCCGGTGTCTTTGTGGAGAGGAAGAGAGAGAAGACAGTTCGCCTATGTGTATGCATTCTCTGATGCAGGCTGGCTAAACTGCGTTCAAGACGTTGTAGTGATCTATATCTGTGAATTAAAAATGTAAGAATTAGAGAAGTAGTTAAAACTGTTGGGTTTCAGTCCAGAGACCTGAGGTGGTACAGTCACGTTCAGTCTGGATTTTGTGGCTTACACGTTACTACTTCATATTCACATCATCAGGCTTCAAAGTCTCCTTTTTAACAATGTCATTGATGCAAGATGGGCTTTGATGTTGCCTGTCTCTTGATCTTTTTGACCTGGAATTCTTGGGATTTTGTTTTCCTCCATTGTAATGTACGTTGCCAACAAGGAAGGCCCTAAAACTTCTGTCAGCAAAAAGTTTGTGTTGGCTTCAAAGTCCACTTGCAATGTTGATACTTGTGAACACGCTTATGTGAAGTTTGTGTATCTTTGGGCTTTTCTTATTTCCTGGCTACAGACTTTTGAAAGCAGTACACTGGACTGAAGACAAAAGTAATGGCTGCTTTTCAGTAGGGAGTTGAAATTAAAGAAAATGTGTAAAGTATTAAAGATTTTTCTCTCTAAAATTGGGGGTTTAGCTGTCTCTTGTTACTAAGTCAATGCTGTCTGTAACAGTCTGATTCATAGAAATTCAACCTCTTTCTTCAGTGCATTATTTATATTTCAAACTGGACATTTTCACCAAAACCTTAATTAACTTTGATGCCAAAGGTTGGGACTTCATCAAGTGCTTAGCACATAGAGCTTCAGACTACTGGCATAAAGAGTTAATGATTTATATGTGATGTTTATGGCTTTTAAGAGAACCAAACAAAGCAATATTCTTTTTGGTCTTTTAAGAGTGTATGCTTGGAAGGAGTAAAGAGTAGAACTAGTATAGAATTGCTATTTCATGCTGCCATGTAACAATTCTTGAGGCTCATTCTATTGAGGGAATATGTGAATTTTTTTCCTGTGTTGCTTGGCAGCGTCAATGATTATTTCTCCCCTTTTAAAGATGTAGAGAGTTCTTGTTGTTGGTTTTGGTGAAAGTAGAATCCAGAGAGCAATGGCTGCTGGCTGATGTGAAGAGGTCAGTCTGGTCACTGAACCGTCCAGCAGTCATTTGAAAGAAAAACTTACTTGAAAAAAAATTTTACTAAAGCATTTTCCCTCTAACCAATTTTTGTAATATATTAAAGATTATATTTAAAGTTTGTATGTGTTTGCTCTGGGCAAGTTTACTTCCCCTCCAACTTGAGCACTTTTGTTACTTGTACTGGTTATTTTTATTGTTGGTCTTAACATTTATTTTGTATTTTGTTTTTTATAAACTGTAACAAAAAGCTTTTGTGAACCTTTGTTTCTTGCTGGCTCTTTCTTGGACCAAATGAACTGACTATGAGCTGGCTTAGAAGAAATGTTCATTGGGATGCATAGGAATTTGCTAGCAAAAATGTACATGTATTGAAAGTTATTTTTTTTCCTCTGAACCTCTAAAGCCACGCCTGTCCTAAAGTAATTGATCATAATTTGATGTGACTTTAGTAATCTGACCACACATTCTCTGTCTAGGTCCAAAATAATGCCTGTAACAATGGTGTTGCAGGACTGAGTCTGCTTCCAAACACTAGAGTTATTCTTTGGCTGGTCACTCCAAGTACGTTTTTGATTAATAAAAGGCAATGCTGCCATCTATAAGAATTCTGTTAAGTTGCAAACTTGCTGTGAAATAAGCTGCAGAATTTGGTGAGGGATTGCTGACACATCAGCCTAACCACTCTTGCTGTGTGCTTTTAGCAGCCTGGTAATCTCAATTTTATCTGCCAATAAAAAGGACCAGCGTATGAATTTCCCTCGTTCTCTGTAATCTGTACAATGACAAACTGTATTAAGGAAGTTTGTCATAATTCCCGTCTTAATTTCCCACTAGCAAGGTCTAGTATAATGGCCAGTGTGAGTAGTATGCCTTGCATGCTTGCAGTCTTTCGCAATCCATGGGAGAGGAGGGGGAATACAGTTTATGACGTTTCTTTGACTTAAAATCTGGCCTCAGAGGTTCTGACAAGTAGTCATCACTGCACCCATAACCAGATGGTCGTCCGTATTTCGTATGGGTGCATCAAGTTAGTGCAAGAGTTCATGAATGCTGTGTGCCATTTTTGGTAGACTTAAGCTTCCCTCTCAGTAAGGCTTGTAGAGGTTTTTTCTGCACGCTCGTCTCAGCAGTCAGATTGCAACAGTGGTGACCTGCAGTCTCACAGACCAATTTTCAAACATCTCCATTCTTTGATAATGGCGATGAGTGGAAGAAGCTGTCAAATTATTGTCAAATTATTGTACTTCATTAAGAGTCACGTTAAGTCAACCAGCAGTATAAACACTTACTGCAAAAGGAACGGACACTTCAGAGGTTTCTTTTAAAAGGACTGTTACAAATGGTTTAAGGCCTAAAGCATGAGTCCTAAATGGCAGTTGAGTTGTGCCTCATTGTTTCTTAAACTCTTTACAATGCTTTCTTTTACAGGTGACATGGCTGTGTTGCTGTTTTGTCCTAGCAATACTGTACATCATTTGTTGTTTCACTATATTGTATCTACTTGAGGTATCACAATAAAAGCTTTCAATTGTTTTGTTGAGTTACTTGTTATTTTTGTGCTGTCTTTTGCTAATTTAGATTCTCGTGCTTTATTCTCTGGTAAGGCCAGAGAGAAAAGGCAGTGCTCTTGGTTGCTCTTAAACTTCTAAATGTGGGTTGAATCTGATTTTTATGTGGTTTTAAGAATGTCACTAAACGCTTTTTTTTTTTTCCCTTTCACTAATCTTTCCAAAATACAGAAAGTTGTGTTACTGCTTTTAGAGCTTTTGCCCACTTTGAGCCAATCATAGAAACCCAGCAAAATGTTTTCAAAAAGAGAGTCAATCTGTGCATACCCCAAAACTGACTTCCAGAGAAAGTGTGGGAAGTGTGGGTGTGCTTTCTGTTGTCTTAGCTTGGTCATCCCTAGACCAGAGGAGCACTCTGAGCACTGGCACTCAATCGGTTATTTATGCTTTGGTTAGGAGGAACTTCTCTAGTTCCTCTAATCAGATTAATAGTCTTATGTGTTAGTGGAGTTAGTCCCCACTGTGAGTCAGTAACAAGGGTGTGATGAAGATCGGTCTTCTCCGTCCAAGGGCCCAGGTCAGAGTGGGCTTCATATTGACACAGATTTATTCTACCTGTCTGTTTGCAGGAGGCACAGGAGCTGCGTGTGTAACTGAAGGGCTCCCGCCAACATTCAAATAGGAGCTTTTCCCTAAAGATCATGTCAGGACCTCGCCAGCTGTCTGTAGCAGCAGGCATGACAGTGGCTCTCAGATTCTCCAGTGGAAAATCTCTGTGCAAAACAGCAAGTTTGGATAAGAAGGGATGATTGTTTAGGAGAGAGAGGATTAAGCTGGCTACTTCCCTTCTGTAGCCCCAGTATGCGGTTTGCTCCTTTACAGTGAGAGGACACTTGGCTCGTGTTCTACCTGCATCCCCACAACCCCCAGGTCCTCTCTGGTTTGAAAATCCAGTCTATGGCACTTGTTGATGGTTTAGTAAATTGTCAAGCAAAGCGATGTTTTCTCCTGAAGATTAATCTGAAGATGGTCTTATTGATCTTAATGGTTGTGATTACAAGAGCAAAGGTAAACTAGGACTTTGTTAGGAGAGGCTTCATACTGTTAATTTGAAAGACTTCAACCAATACCTCAGTTTGAACAAATCCTCAAAAAAGCTCTGTTTACTGATAGTAAAAATATCCTTTTGAAGTTCTTGAAGTTATAGCAAGTGACTATTGCAGTGATTTAATTTACTCTTCTATATAATAACAGGTGTAGGATTATCCTTAATCACATTAAACCATGTGAAATAAATAATTTTCAAGGAAATGCTTCACATCAGACTTGCCTGCTAGTACAAGATGTAGGTGCGTGCTAGGTAATATTAAAGTGTTAATGAAATTTTCCTGGAAATTCTCCTAACTCCAGGGTAGGCTAAATTATGTCACTGTGACGATTCGATTATTTTT